TTCAAGGCTCAGGGGTCCAAGATTATCTTCTGTGTCTGTGTTAATTGGTTTCCCTTTTCTTTGTTGAAGAGGGTCTTTGCAATCCTTCTGCCTAGTCTGCCATCTTGCCGGAAGCCTTATACATGTGTTTTTAAAACAATTACAAAAACACTTGCCAATTTAATCAGTTACTTCCTTTGCTTCCAGATCTTGGAAGGTGCCATTCACACTGACAAGTTGAGAATCATTATGGATTGGGAATAGAACAATTTGAGAGAAAAGATACTCGGCAACAATTTTTATCCACATTCTCATGGGGTCTTTTCCTTAAAGAACCCTACAGATCAAAATGTTTTATTTGAACATCTGAAGGCACCCATAAATTGCATCAATATATAAATAAATATCCAAGACCAAATGAGTTCTTTGTGGTGGTGGTGGTGGTCGTGTGTGTGTGTGTGAAGTTGCTCATCTTGTCTCAACCCCATAATTATAGGAAGTTCTACAGCTTAGCCACGTAGCCCCACAAGCTGTGTGTCCACATCTGAAAACTCTAGAGATACCAAAATGCCATAGCTTCATCCAGAAACCTCTCCCATGACAGGAATCTCTTAGTCTTGTTCAAATGAATCCTCCCCAACAGCACTGAAAGGGCTGGCGACAGATGGAGGACAATGGCATGGATGACAAAAGACAAAAGAAACTGTGCGATTCCACATGGGCTTGCTACATCGATTGTGACTGTGGCATCTGCTCAGCTTCTAGTAAGCCTCAGGCCTTCTGTGGACATCCACTGGCTACAGCTCAATCAAGCAGGTACACAGGTATAATGAAGGAACCTCCACAGACAGGAAGGTGAAAGGATTAAAGAAGGCAAGAGAGAATTCAAGACAACAGGAAAGCTAAGCTGCTGATTAACCAGTTAATGTGACTCACTTCATTGCTGTTTCTCTTCCAAGTTTTACAGTCAGTGTAATTAGCCAAACACCCAGGTACTCCTTGGCATCTACTAGACTTTGCCTGAGTTTTGGCATAAATCCGTCACCATGCTGGCCTTCCAGGGGGCCTGTCTGCCTTACAGGATGTATTTCATGTTTTAAGAAAGTACTGACAATAAGCACATGAGAAAAAGCTCAAAATCATTAGCTATCCAGGAAATGCCAATGAAAATCACAATGCCTTCACACCTACTCAAAATACCAGACCTGTTGCCAGTTGAGTCAATTCTGACTCACAGCAACCCTATGGGACACAGCTGAACTTCCCAGGCAGTTTCCAAGGCTGTACTCTTTCTGGAAGCAGATGGCTACATCTTTCTCCCTCAGAGCAGCTGGTGTGTTTGACCCTCCAACGTTTTGGTTAGCAGCCGAGTGCTTAACCGCTGCACAACCAGGGCTCCCTTCACACCCACTAGGATAGCTATAATTAAAAAGACAGATAATTACAAGTGTTGGCAAGACATGGGGAAATTGGAACCTTCGTCATTGCTGGAAGGAACGTAAAATGGTGCAGCCGCTCTGAGGAAGTCTGACAGTTCCTCAGTGTTAAACATGATTCCGCAATTACACTCCTAGGTTTGTGCCTGAGATGAATGGAAACATACGTCCATGCTGACACTGGTGCAGAAATGTTCACAACAGCTTTTTCATAACAGCTGAAAGGTGCAAGCAATGCAATGTCCATCAGCTGATGAACAGATCAACAAAATGTGGTAAATCCAAACAATGGAACAGTATTCGGCCAATGAAAGGAGTGAAGTGCTGATAGAGGCTCCAACATGGGTAAACCTTGAAACCTTTACACTAAGGAAAGAAGCCAGCCACAGCAGACCACATACTGTATGATTCCACATAAGTGAAATGTCCAGAACAGGCAAATCTATGAAGATAGGCAGGAGATTAGTGGTTGCCTAGGGCTTGGGGGACCTGGGAGGAAATAGAGAGGGAAGGCTAGCTAATAGGTACAGGCTTTCTTTTGAAGCCAATGAAGCTGTTCAGGAAATAAATATTGGTGATGGCTGTGCTGCACTAACAAAACACTAAAATCCATCAGATTTGACCCTTTAAGATGGTAAAGAGCTGTTATATATCAGAGGGAGCGAGGAGAGCCCTGCAAGTGCCCTGCTGTCCCAAGTCATTAGCTGCACTTACCATTCGTAGGTTTTGAGTTGTTCTTGTTTCAACGGCTCTGAGGATCTCGCGAAATCTCCCAACTCCTCTTGTCAAGTTTCTGTGTGCACAAAGAGTTTGACAGCGTTTCCCTCTCACATGTATTGATATTAAATACTTTATACACATATGTCAATGCATTTTGTCTACATGAAAGCTATTGGCTACATTTTAAACAATTATCCTATTCATCTTCGTTCAACTCTGAAAAATTGGACCTGGGATTAATGATCTTATGTGCTTACTAACCCTGATCAAAATTTCTCAAAGACTGAAAATCAGTTCTGAGGCAAAAAGAAGAAAGAAGAAGAAGGAAGAAGAAACCGAAAAAAATGAGCAAAATAACAAGATGCAAGAGCCTAGCTTCACACTTACCATCCAGTGAGTGGCTCTGTGTCTTTCATGCTCTGCTGAGGGGCACGGAAACCTGTCTCTTCATTTACAAGGTGGAGGACAGCGCTAGACCAATGGGAGTTTAGTAATATCAGCTAGGCCCCGTGTGTACTGTGGGTGAAGGCTCTTGTAACTTGTATTTAATGGGCAGGACAGAGATAAAGGGGTATGAAAAATGAGGGGGCTCCACTAAGCAACTGCTCTGCATCTCTGAGAACAAACCACTGGCCGACAAATCCAGCAAGCCACCCGTCCTCCCACCCCACACTGACAGGAAGAATGAAGGGTCAAGGCCCCTCCGGAGGCCAGTATGTGATGACAGGGACCTGGAGCCGCCTGCCTGTGATCAAAACACACCACCATCACCTGAAGCACACACCCCACAGAACTGCATTTGGTGACACATTCTATTAAAGGACAATCATTCTTTAGTAACATCCAGGTCCATCTATCTGGGCCCCACTTGCCCCACTGAAAACAGTGCCCGGCCTGCTCAGCTGGGAACATCTTGCAGACGATCCCTTTACGTTGAGCACTGGCACCACCTATGACATAACTCGCTGATATTTATAACCAGCTCATTAGAACACATCTTATCTTTCCAAAAAGCCACAGAGCAGGTCAGCCGGTGCAGACCTATCAGCCAGCCTCTGCAGTTAGTGGCAGATGCTCTAGGTATTTGGCTCTCTTCTTGGATGACATTTTAAATCACACAAAGGTATTAAATCAAACGGAATGTGGGTTCTGTAGTTACAAGTACTCGCAAGGGCTATTAATTCGTATCTTATACCTACATGACATCCCAGGACTCTCATTCATAAGAACAGCCCCAGACCTTTAAGATAATGGTTTATTGGCACAGGAATATCAACACGCTCGCCCACACAGCCGATGATAGCGGATCAGAAGCTTTATGGTGGCATAAAGACAGGCTTGTGTTCAGGGCCCAGAGCAGCACTAAAGGAAATGGAATGGAGATGTGAATAAAAACTAGGCAGCAGGCCCTCGGACATGCAATCTCCTCTGCTCTCCACTTCATTTGTTTTTATGGGACCTGTGTTCCCAGGCAGTGGGTACATCTGCTCTGGGCTGAAGCTCAGTTCTCCTAAGTAACATGAGGAGGAAGAAACAGCCACAGCTAAAAAGGGATGAGTGTGGATGTGCTGGTTGAATTTCGTTCCAGAATCACTGATGAAGCTCCTACTATGCACAGAAATAGGAGCCCAATAGTTAGGCGCTTGGCTACTAACCAAAAGGGTGGCAGTTTGAACCCACATAGCCATTCTGTGGGGAAAAGACCCGGCTATCTGCTCCTGTCCAGATTACAGCCCAGAAAACCACCTGGGGCAGGCCTACTCTGCCCCATGGGGTTGCTCTAAGGGGGGAATTGATTCAGCAGTGCTGAACAGCAACAACACGTACACACACGACGGCAATTTGAGATAAGGGTGGGTCTGGGGTAACACAACTAGAGATGCTGGTTGATAGAGCTTCTTTACAGGGTGGGAATTGGGCCTTGAACAGCAGTATTGACTGTAAATATTAGAATGCAGGGCAGACTATGGATAGGAATTGGTCATTCAGGGTGTTTCCTGTGCCCTGCTCGCAGAATGAGCTACAGTTACAAAAGCACAGAATTTTCTAGCTATCAATGATCCAACACAATCTAGTTCACTATGACACAGAAGCGGCCCAGCTTACCCAGCTTCACAAAACTAGCAACAGGTCGAGCTGGGAGCTTCTACACACATACACTCTCTCTTAAATGCGCAAAAGAGAGCCTGTGATCTTTTGAACCATTAACATGTACACTGCTTAATTAATATACATATAATATAAATCTCATGTGTTCCAGTGATCAAAATGGCAAGGGAAATCAGTCGGCCTAACTGAAGAAGTCTGGTGTCTGAGGGCAATGCCCTGGGGTGCCTGAGATGATGAAAACGGATAGAGAAATTCAGCTCTCCTCTCCCAGGCGAGGTGGTTTCTCCCGTGCAGGCCCGAGGCCCTCTGGTGGAAGAGTGGGAGAAGTCTCAGGCCCGAGGGTGCCCCACGGGATGGGGCAAACCCAGCATGTTCCCAACGAAGCTTTGGAAGCAAACAGCAGTTTCTCTCTAACTGTTTCCAGTTGATTTCCGGACAGAGCTCAGCGCTCAGAACCAAGGTCTTTCCCGAGAAGAAGCTGGGACAGAATCCGCAGTGAACACAGAATGGAGAAGGCCTGAGGCTGGGACCTCCTGCAATGAATGCTGGCCTCATGGAAGGACCCGTGAGACTGGCCTCAGTCCCACCAGAGAGCACCCTGACAGCAGGAGGAAGAAAGGACTGGGGGGAGAAGATTGCACACCTTAAATCGTGGAAAAGGAAAAAATTCTCCAAATGCAAAAAGTATTCAGCAAATCGTATACCAGTCAAAGAATCTTGTTACATAATTTTATTCAATCAGTCATTTCCACTGTTACTGCAAAAGCAGAAACCATTTCTTTTTAGAATCCAGAGTTTGATAACCATAATAAAAAAAAATGTCTGCAAGGATAGAAAGGAACCAAAAAAAGGGGGTGAGCGGTGGGAGTTAACTTGCCAGTGCTATATTCTAAATGCTACAAAATACCCTGATTTGAGGGAAATAAACAAAACCCACGTAACTGCTCTCATGTCTCTAAACTATTAGTTTATTCTTCAGAGTCGGAAGTCCATTAAGAGTCTTGACTAAATTGCTGCTTAAATTAAAAACTCCCAAATGAAGACAAGACAGTCACAGTCAAGGCATTCCCATTTCTGGAGGTTTCCACAGACCCCTGACATGGTGTCATTCCTTCCATTTCAGCACCCTTGACTGAGCGAGTGCAATGACGTCAGCATTCATTAGAGTCAACTACTCTCCAAACCAGGGCTGCTGCCAGCAGTCGAGCGGTGGGCACTGTGGCAAGCTGTCGGAGCTCGGGACTCATCTCCTGGACCTTGCCACAGCAAGCTGCCTGTGCTGGGTGCACTGCCCTCCACATGAACAGTTCCCAAAAGTTCAGCCACTGTCAAGGAGAAAGGGCCTCAAGCCCCTTGGGCACCAGCTGGCTGTTCAGCCTGACAGGCTGGCAAAACCCTGCCTTCACTGGCAAACACTGCGGTCCATCTCTGACCCACCAGGGAGACCCTCAGACCAGGGGCCCACTGCCTTGTTTCTGCTCAGACCCCATGACGCAGTACTCTGCTTTGGCAGCAAAGTCCACCTACTTTTCACAGACACACATTCTGCTCCTCCCTCAACCTACTTCTATTTTTTCTTCTTTGCTCCCTGCTTTCACCCTCCTCCTTCTGAGCCTCCTCCTTCCAGGCCTTGCTGTCTGCTGGCCCTTAGGTTGTGCAAAGCATGACTTCCTGGGAGTCAGCACTGGCCTCACTGGACACCAGCACTTGGCCCTCCCTCTTGGCCTCCATCCTTGCAACAGGCTCTAGGCCCCCCTCGGGCCCTGCAGCAGAGCTGTGAAGTCTGGTCTCTGAAATTGATGTTCTTATAAGCTCTCTGATAGCGTAGTGCCTAAGGCACTTGGCTGCTAACCAGAAGGCTGGAAGTTCAAACCCATCAGCCACTCCTCGGAAGGAAGATGGGGCAATCTACTTCCGTGGTGATACTGCCTCAGAAACCCAAGGAGGGCTCGCTATGAGTCGGGTTCGACTCGACGGCACATAACAACAACAACAAGCTCACAGCAGTGCTTGGTTCTGTCCTGTTCTAGTCCATGACTATGAACAACACTCTCTCGTCACCTTTACCTATCAAACCAAGGTGAAACGTATGTGGGAAGGGAGCCAGAGCTACAACGTCAAAACTGGGTGTTGGAAAACCAAGGCTGAGGAGAAACTTGGGGACCTGAGAACCATGTCACCTCATGATGGGTGGTGACTTTAATGTCAAGCTCACTACATTTCCTTCTGTTGTTTCGCCTTTCATTTCCTGTGGGTACGGTGGGAGGAAACAATTCCTCCTCTTAATTTATCCTTTCAAACTATCTTTGGCCTTGATGTTTGCCTGAGGCCACCAATATACCTAAATTCCATATCAACTGTCATTGCCATGTGAACTCCAAGTTGTAGTGTGAATAAAATACTTTTTATACTAGATGTCAAAGTCCTGGGTAATAAGGAAAAGCTACCCCTGCTACAGGATGTTCAATATTTTTCTCTTTCTCTGTGGCTGAGAACTTTATAACTAAAGATCAATTACAGAACAAATCAATACACCAGACCTCTCAGAACTAAGAAATCATTTGGACTTTTTTTCTCTCTCTTATTTTTCCTATAGAAATCCAGGAAAAGTCTTAAAGCCAACAAGCACTTCCCAAGATTCTTAAGCAGCAGGTTATTCCAACCATTTTCAGCATGGTCATATACCAGGTTCCAGGCTGGTGAACAAGAGCCACCATCCCTGGCCCATGGCACGTGGGCAGCCCCACATCCTCCAAAGGAAACTAAGTACAAGGGCACAGCTCTTGGTCTAGTTCACTGACATATCCCAAGTCCCTGGAACACAGCCCGGTATACAGGAAGCGCCCGATATTTGTGCAATGATTGAAATTCAGAATCATCATGAGCTGCCTGAAGCAAGACCACAGAGGGCATGTTGTCTATCTGTTTCTTGCCTCCTTGTTTCTCACTGAGCATGGACTGGCA